CCTCTGATGCGTCCGTTTTTAACTCTAACTCACTTTTCCTGCCTGTTTGCTTGCAGAAGCATTAAACTAGCTGCTGAGCTCTCATCACCTGCTCTTTGTGTCTGATTTCACACGTTAATGTGTACATACGGTCCATCGTTTACTTTACAAAGATTAATGATTATTTTTAAAAAGAAAACGAGACATGAAAAGACAATGATTGTACGCAAGAAACGGCTAATAAAGTTTGAACTGTCAGAAACTGCAGAGTCTCCTTTGTTGTTGTTTTTTCAGTGTTGGACTTTTTCTGTGATATGTTTGTTTCTGTAGTTAATATAAAAATATTATTTGAAATGTGCTTGTAACTATTCAATATTCAGTGAGTCAGTCAGTCATTTGTTATGACTGTTGTTTTTTAAATAGAAGATGCTAAAGCAAGAAAAACGTTCAGACAAATTTTAAAGAGGGAAAGTTTTTATCTTAAATGTGTTAAAAACTTTATTATTTGACAAATATTTTCAGCAAATTTACTTCATTATTGGTTTTATCCACAAAGATGAAAATGGGAATATGTAGAACTTTAGAAAAGATATTCTGAGATGCTATGAACAGTTAGTATCTTACCTGCTGAAGATGATTCTCTGAACAGATATTATTTCCCATATGAGCTAACGGCTAGTCCGAGTGACGCTAACACCAAAGTCGATTGGTCTTAAAACAATTCCAATTAAATGTTTTTGTTTATTATTATTATTTTAGAATCTTTTACATTGCTGTCAAATTTATAACGCACAAATATTTCAGCAAAAAAATCACATTATTTTACAAAATGATGGAAATTAAATAACATTCGCATGAGCTGTTGTCACAAGTGGAGTTGTTTTGATCCTAGTTTAGCTCAGATCAGCTGTTAGCTCTTTTATCTGGTCAAAATAAAAGTGTTTCTACAAATAGAGGTTGTTCACAGAGATATTTAAAACAGGTAAGATATTGTTTATTCATTTTTACAGAATCTCTGTAAGATCTAAAGTCTTGCTACAATAAAAAATTTGATTAACCATCACTTGTTTATAAAACATTAAGATGCTGCTTTATTACATCTTTTTACAATAACTGCACAAACAAGCAGACATTATGTGTGATTTTTAGAAGAATTTATAAAAATTTGATCAAAGCTTTAAATTTCTTGAAATAAATTAAACTTTTAAGTCAAAATATTTTTTTCTTCTAAAGAAAATGTTCGATTTTGTTGACTAACAGCCACAGAAATCACAGGAAAGTATCTGTGTCATCATTCACAGCGAGAACTCGGGTCAAACATTTATCTGCAGTGATCTGAGCTCTTCACTGGAACCGACCCGGTCCGAACAGATTCCAGAACTTCATGTTTTCCAGTCAGCTGCAGCTGCTGCTCGTCTGCATTCTTCCACGTCAACGGAGCATCTCTTTCAGCCCAAACCTGCTGCGGTTCGTTTGTGACGCCTGCTGTTTGATTTGGTCCCATGTCGTTCACACGTTTGTTTCATATAACCCGTGTTTGAACCTGTTTATTTAAATCACTTTTATCAACTTTGCATCTTTATTTCTTCTCTTATTGAACTAATATCRTCTCAGCTGTTGAAGCTTTTAGAAAAGCCTCAGTTATGAGTTTTAATCTGACTGGATTGACGAGCTAACGGCTAATCTGAGCCGGGCTGCAAATTCAGTTTTCTAACAATTCAAAGCAAATCACGCAAACACTACTTTACACTTCTATAAGTTTCACATCATGCAGTTATTTACAAAAAAATAAATGATTATTTGCAAACACAACTTGAGATATTTCCATCAGGAATCTCATATTTATACAAAAGTAACAAAACCGTAATATAGAACTGTTATGTTCATTAAATAGAGTTTGAATAAAGAGTCGTGAAGTTTTTGAGGCTGGATTTGTTTTAAGATGACAGAAATCCACTTTGGTTTTAAACCTGATTGACTTGATGGGCTCTGGTTAATCTGAGTCAGTCGCTAAAGTGACTCGGTTCACCTGAGTCACTGACCTGCTGGGTTATTCATACCGACTCACCTGAGCCGGCTGTGGTTTTTGTGGTGTTTAAACCTGAGACACTCAACACATCTGAGATTGTGTTGTTTACGGCTTTATTTCTGCTAATTTATGGACTTTCTTCAGGTGTTTTTTTTTTTTACTTTTAGCTTTTAGCCACCAAACTGCTGCAGAAAATTGTTAATTTTGCACACTTCACTAAAAACTCTGTTTAAACACGTGCAAGCCGAATAACTATAATACTTTTATTCATTTAGGATTGTRTAGATATATTTTTCCAATAATTATGGTGAAGCTATTATTTTTTAAAACAAGTTTTATTGAGTGTAACGACAGAAGATAACAGAAACGTTATAGTGACTGAACATTTTATTGTCTAAAGAAATGTATTTTATCTATTTATTATTTGTTTGTTTTTATTAGCTTTATATATACATTATATATACTTATATTTACTTCTTTAATAGTGATTTTGAAGAATAATTTTCTTGATGAATAAAAAATTATGGGAAAAATTAGCTGAAGAAGGGGTGCCAGTGTTTACCAAAGTTGGGGTCGGGACACAAAGTGGGGTCCTGAAACATCAAGGTGGGGTCCTGAAAAGATTTTCAGAATTAATTACATTTTTGCCTTAGTTGTTACAAAGGAGTGAGGTTAGTGTACTTAAAATTGATAAATTGTTACTATGCCCATGTTTAGTTGACCTGATACAAATGTTTATCATCCAAAAATAGCTGGGGGCTCAGGTCTCTGCTGCTGTTATTTTGTGGGTCAAACGCTGAATAGTTTTGGAACCASTGCACTTTGGTTCCCAAAGTTGGGCTTGGGACCCAATTATGGGTCATGAAGCACCTTGGATAATCTCCAGAAATCAATTTAAAAGGTAATAAAATAATTGCTGATGTAATATTTTCCTTATAATTATTAGAAAAACACAAAATAATTAAACATAAGTATTTATATTTGTGTACAAGMTGTTTAGATTGTMAAAAAGCCTGTGTTTTTAGGGTTATTAACAAAGTTTGTGTACTCAGACCAGTAATATTTGGGGTCACAAGTTTTTGCCATGGATATTTTTTGGGTCAGAAGATAAAAAGTTTGGGAACCACTGACGTAATCAGTAATAATAGGTGGTAGTGGCAATAATAATAATAATAATTATTATTATTATTAATAAGATGTTTAAGAAAGTTCATGCTGAAAATGTCTTAATTATATAATATTAATGATTAAATCGGGGACCTTCACTTCATGTTTCCTGACCCACAGAGAGGGTCTCGACTTGGGGAACCACTAGATACAGAGCGAGGAGTTCCTCCTAACCTTCCCACTTTAAAACKTTGGTTTTAAAGTCTCAGAACATTTTTAATGAGCCAGGCGCCATCACCTGAAGGTGATCACAGGTGTGCTGGAGTGGGAGGAGTCAGATTACCTGGTGCCCACGGGTCGATGATGTGGAAGACCGAGTCCTGAGGTCGGAGAAGATGAAGTTTCTCTGAATGAAATCTGACCTGCAGGTCCTCAGAGGTTAGCTGAGGCAGGAGGCCACTTCCTGTCAGATAAAGCCTGCTTGTTTCTAAAGAGACCCACACACACACACACACACACCTGATTGGTTAATGGGGTCGGGGCTGAGGCCAGCAGGGGGCAACGCAGCGGAGCCTGGAAAAACAGATTTAACACGTGAGTGTGTAAAACAAAGCTTTGTTCAGGTGAGTTTCACACAGGAGCAGCTAATGGGCTATCTGTAAGAAGAGACTGAGCTTCACCTGAGCCGAGCAGAACATCGTGTTCTGATCCGTTTTCCTGGGAACCAACAGCAAGGAAATATTTTATTACTTTACTTTAAGGGCCCTAACTATTTACAGCATCCATGTTTTAAAAAAAATGATTTGCTTCTGCAGGGTCCTGACTGTCCCACAGCTCTTGTTTTCAGTCAGACACCAGGATCAAAGGTCCAGGTGAGATCCAGTCACTCAGAACCGATCTGGACCGGGCCGCAAGAACATAAAGTGCCCCTAATTCCTGTTCTGGAGCCGATCCCAGGGCCCGGGCGGGTTCCAGCTCTGGTTCTGATTTCAGGACATTCTGCAACAGATTGATGCAAACTCACGTTCTGCCCTGATTCCTGCAGACAGCGTGGAAAATAACAGCAAAACAGCACCAGAACCAAACCAGAACCGAGTGTTCGCACTCTTCAACACATAACTGCTTCACAAAAACAGAAATACACAAAACAAAAAACTCAACCATTTTCTGAAAGGTGATATTTTTTAATTCAGAAAATTTGAAGAATAATACGAGCGTGGCTTCTTGTGTTCAGGATTTTAGGTTAAATAGAAATATAGATAAAGCTGTTGTGTTAAAGTGTAAAATTTTATCATTAAGACATACTAAGAAGGGTTGGACTGCATACGTACCTCACCCAGTGGAAAATAAACGCTAAAAATGGTGATTTTATAGGAAAAGGCCGGAGCAGAGGGGTAGGTGGGTCGGTGGGGGGGGACATGGGGTCCATGGATGTAGTTCCAAGGAATGTTGGCAGCTTTTCTTCCCGGCAGCTCTCTATCACTTTAATAAAGCTTCCTTTCTATACGTCCTCTCAGCCCGAGCAGACATGGGAATAAAGAGGGTTCACTGAGGTGAAACTAAAGTAAAAAAAATTGAAACAAACAAATCCTTTTTTCCCCTTCATGAAACTGAACACGCTTCATATTCTGAGAGGAAAACCCACCTGATTCATTATCTTTATGTAACGTCTGATCATCAGATCCTTGGACTGCTGAGGGTTTTGATTGAATGTTACCCAACAAGCCTGTTGATTTATTTTGTTTCTATTGGTTTTATAGAGATTATAACAACCTGGTTTAACTCTAATCTAACTATTGAGCTGCAAAATAAAACGGAAGAAGCAAAGGATCTTCTGAAAAATGAAGGTGAACCTTAAATAAATACATTTACCTG